AGTTCTTGATAATCACTTCTCAACAATTATTTGTTATTATTACAGTTTAACATTATAAAATTAACAAAAATAATATAAAACTCATATCCTGGCGAAATAGCTACATGGCAGCCAAAAACCATATATTCCCTTATTGTTCTCCCACCCATTCGTGCATTCTTTCCAAAAATCGGGACTTTTTTAAAATGCCGCGGGACACAGGACAAATTGTTAAAAATTGGGACTGTCCGGCCAAAAGCGGAACGTCTGGTCACCCTACCCTAATTATTGTCACTTTCAAGAAATAGAGTTGACAGTGGCTTACTTTCTGCTTCGCCCATGCAAGTTTCAACTTGCTCTGCTTATCAGTGATGCAGGAAGGGCTTCCTTTGTTTCCATCCTTGCAGTACTCAGTGTCATCTATGGAGCTGAGAAGAGAGCCCTTTCCTCCAAATGATTTTCTATGATTTTTGTTTGTTTGTTTTTGTTTTGAGACAGATTCTTACTTTGTTGCCCAGACTGGAATACTGTAGTATCAGCCTAGCTCACAGCAACATCAAACTCCTGGGCTTAAGGAATCCTCCTGCCTCAGTCTCCAGAGTAGCTTAGACTACAGGCACCTGCCACAATACCCAGCCTTGCTAAATTTTTTTTCTTTTCTTTTTTTTTTTTTTTGTTAGTCTGTGTCACCCTCGGTAGAGTGCCATGGTGTCATAGCTCATAGCAATCTCCAACTCCTGAGCTTAAGCAATTCTCTTGCCTAAGCCTCCCAAGTAGCTGGGACTACAGGCGCCCACCACAACACCTGGCTATTTTTTCTGTTGTTGTTGCAATTGTCATTGTTAACTGGCCCAGGCCAGGTTTGAACCCACCATCCTCGGTGCATATGGCCGGTGCCATAACCACTGTGCTACTGGTGCCAAGCCTTTTTTTTTTTTCTTTTTTTGAGACAGAGCCGCAAGCTGTCCCCCTGGGTAGAGTGCTGTGGCATCACAGCTCACAGCAACCTCCAACTCTAGGGCTCAAGCAATTCTCTTGCCTCAGTTTTTCTATTTTTAGTAGAGACGGGGTCTTGCTTTCACTCAGGGTAGTCTCAAATTCCTGAGCTCAAGCAATCCACTTGCCTCAGCCTTCTAGAGTGAGCCATCGTGACCAGCCCCTTTTTCTTTTTTTTTTTTTTGAGACAGAGTTTCAAGCTGTCACCCTGGGTAGAGGGCCGTAGTGTCACAGCTCACAGCAACCTCAAACTCTTGGGCTTAAGTGATTCTCTTGCCTCAGCCTCCCAAGTAGCTGGGACTATAGGCACCCGCCACAAAGCCCAGCTATTTTTGTTGTTGTTGCAGTTATCATTGTTATTTAGTAGGCCCGGGCTGGGTTTAAACCCACCACCTCCGGTGTATGTGGCCAGAGCATTGCCAACTGAGCTACAGGTGCCCCCTTTCTGTTTTAAATAGAGATGGGTTCTTGAACTTCTGAGTTCAAGTGATCCCCCTACCTCAGCCTCCCAAAGTGCTAAGATTATAGGCATGAGCCACTGTACCTGGCCTGATTATGAGTTTTTTTTCTCTTTTTTAAAGTAGTTCAGATAATATGAGGGCACAAACCATTAGGTCACAACGTCTGCATTTGTTGGGTAAAGTCCCTGCTGTAATTGTGCCCCTCACCTAGGAGCTGTGCCATACACCCTTACATCGTGCGCGTTACATAAGAACCTCCCCATTTTCTACAATTTTAAAAGTGGGTTAAAGGTGTACTCCAAACCTTAAACATTTGCACTGGGCTTTTGGGGACCTTTTTCCTATCTGCATAATGATTTTACAGTGGTTTCAAGAATTCAAAAGAGATGAAATTCAATGAGATAAAGAGAGGAGTAGGTGTGCAACAACTGCAATGACTGAGAAAAAACATCACTTCTGTGGGAAAATCATTCTCAAAAACAGTTGAGTGACACTAGTGGACAATGAAGCAGTACTATAGATTGAATCACTGGAGGTGTCCAAAATCCCACAGGATTATCTCTGAGTCAGGATAATTTCATCCTGTTGGGTTTCTCACATTTGACAGATGAGCAAAAGTGCATCAATGCTGAATGGTATGAAGAAATACTGGTCAGATTCGATGCAGGCAAGCCTAGACACATTTCTGACATCGTTATTGGTGATGAAACCTGGATTTACCAGTTTGATACAGAGAATAATCATCAGTGATGGTGTGGGTTTTTCTTCCCCTGATAAAAATCCACCAACAAAAGTAAAGTGACTGTGAAGCATTGGAAAGAAAATGGTGGCACTCAAAAGTGGTCATGTTGCAACTGTTCCTCTGGAGGAACAAAGACCTGCTATTGCTCAGTGGTAGGCAGCAGTTTGGGGGAAGTTACAAAAACAGCGGCCAAGGACAGGATGGGGGGGACCATCTTGCCCCATGACAGTGCATCTGCCACACAGCCAACATCACCATTCAATTCCTGGAGTCCACAGAGGTTAAACTTATGACTCATCTCCTCTACAGTCGTGACCTTGCCTCACATGATTATTTACTGTTCCCTATAGTCAAAAATCCTATGCACAGCAGAAGGTTCTCTAACAATGAAGAAACTTTTAGCACCTATGAAAGCGCTCTTATAGTTCTTGAAAAACTTAAGTGGAAAGAGTATTTTCAAAAATAGTTTATAAAGGGCCAGGCACAGTAGCTCAAGCCTGTAATCCTAGCACTCTGGGAGGATAAGGTGGGTGGATTGCCTAAGCTCATGAGTTCTAGACCAGCCTAAGCCAGAGCAAGACCCCATCTTTAAAAATAGCCAGGTATGTGGTGGGTGCCTGTAGTCCAAACTACTTGGGAGGCTGAGGCAAGAGAATCGCTTGAGCCCAAGAGTTTGAGGTTGCTGTGAGCTGTGATTCCATGACACTCCACTCAGGGCAACAAAGTAAGTTTGGGACTCTGTCTGCAAAAAAAAAAAATCGTTCATGATAAAACAAAAGTGCATAGGATGTTGTGGGGGTTACTTTGAGAAAATACAGTAATCAAACTAATTTTATACTTCTTAACTTTTATGTATCTCAAAACTTTCATATCATCCCTTTTATCACACCATTTCATCATCTCCTAGTTCACAATCATAAATTATCAAGAGTAGTCTCAAAGCAGCTGCTGTGCCTCACAGGTGCCCAGGAAAAAAAAAAAGTAGTCTCCACTGGTCTCTCTCTCACCTTTTTATCCTTTATGAGAGAGCTCTAGTGTCAACTCTCTTTGAGAATGCTGTAAACTTAAAAGAAAATAGGGTAGCACCTGTGGCTCAGTGGGTAGGGTGCCGGTTCTATATACCGAGGGTTGTGGGTTCAAACCTAGCCCCAGCCAAATTGCAACAAACAATAGCCAGGCATTGTGGCGGGCAACTATAGACCCAGCTACTCAGGAGGCTGAAGCAAGAAGAATTGCCTAAGCCCAGGAGTTGGAGGTAGCTGTGAGCTATGATGCCACACTACTCTACCAAGGGCAACAAAATGAGACTGTCTCAAAATAAAAAAAAGAAAAAAAGAGTAGTTTGTATTAAAGGAACTACAAAACCATCATGAAATTTTACCTCTGCAATCTTTTCTGGTAGAGGTACATTGTGAATATCCACCTCAGATGCATTTACTATGGCTTTTGTTTTTAAGAGATAGCTAGAGAGAAAATATACAGAGAAAATGTTAGTGTCATATCACAGGTAAGATTATCAAGAAACCAAACTTGCCCTCTAAAGAAACAATCTGTCGAGCAAAGTCTGCCCTCTTAACTGATTTCCACGTCAAAATCCATGATGTACAGTAAGCCCTCTTTATCTGTAGGTTCAGCATCCATGGAATCAATAAACCATGGACTGCACATATATATATACATATATATATATATTTTTTTTGTTTGTTTTTGTTTTGTTTTTTTTAGAGCCTCAAACTGTCCCCCTGGGTAGAGTACCGTGGCATCACAGCTCACAGCAACCTCCAACTCCTGGGCTCAAGCAAGTCTCCTGCCTCAGCCTCCCAAGTAGCTGGGACCACAGGCACCTGCCACAGCGCCCGGCTATTTTTTGGTTGCAGCCGGCATTGTTGTTTGATGGCTGGGCTGGATTTGAATCCGCCAGCTCAGTTGTATGTGGCTGGCGCCTTAGCCACTTGAGCCACAGGCACCAAGCTGAAAATTTTTTTTTAAAAATGGATTGTTGCTTCTGTACGAAACATGTACAGACATTTTTTCTTATCTTTATTCCCTAAATAATACATTGTAATCACTATTTAGATAGCATTTGCATAGTATGTGATAGTATAATCTAGAGATGATTTTAAAGTATATGAAGACTGAGCAAGAACTAGACCCATCTCTACTAAAAATAGAAAAATTAGCCAGGTGTTGTGGCAAGCGCCTATAGTCTGACCTATTCAGAAGGCTGCTGCAGGAGGATCACTTGAGCCCAGGAGTTTGGTGTTGCAGTCTGCTACAATGACACCACTGTACTCTACCCAAAGTGACAGGTCTCAAAACAAAACAAAACAAAAAACCCCTACCAGGGTCTTAAGAATAATTGGGGTTCTTTTTAGGACACTATTAAAATTTGCCTTAAATATTTCTTTGAGGAAGAGAAAATCACACTTCTACTCAATGAAGAGAAACATTTTTTACAGTAGCTTTTTCTGTTTTTTAGCTATTATGCTATGAATTCACAGAAATAGGTTCCAGCACCTTTATATGCCTTGTCACTGGTTCTAGTTTCTCATAGGTGCTACAAGGTAAGCCTATTATGCCATGAAGTCATAGGGAATAGGTTCTAGCAGCTCAGACTCCTTTCCATTGGTTCTCATAAAGTGTGCTTCTCTGGGTGGAACAGGCTGACACTTTAGCTGAACACTGGTACCTTTCTTTTTAGGCCTCCTTTTTCTGATTATTTTCCTTCACATGTTTAAGATTATCTTGAGTTTCAGGAAACTATCTTCGCTCTTAGGGTACTTAATATGCTCAATAAGGACCGTTAATTCTCTTGGCAAGAATCTTGACTTTGTTTGTTTATAACAATGCCAACAGCATGATGGGTAACATTGTAGACTCTATAAGTTTGGTCATGGTAATATTTGTGTGGCATGCCTTCTTGGGGTTATTTTTGCTTTTTTTTAATCAGAGTCTCACTTTGTGGCCCTCGGTAGATTGCTGTGGGGTCATAGCTCACAGCAACCTCAAACTCTTGGGCTCAAGTAATGCTCTTGCTTCAGCCTTCTAAGTAGCTGGGACTACAGCCGCTTACCACAAGGCCCAGCTATTTTTAGAGATGGGGTATCGCTCTCGCTCAGGCTAGTTTCAAACTGAGCTCAAGTGATCCACCCACTTCAGCCTCCCAGAGTAGTAGGATTACAGGTGTGAGCCACCACGCCAGGCCTTGGCATACCTTTTTGAATAGTACCCATTTTTTGATGTCTATAATGTCGCATTTCCTGCAGAAAACACATTCGTATGTATGTGGCTAAAGGAAGAACTCCATGTTTTCTAAAAGGCCTACAGAAAAGAATGGGGCCTCTCTTCATTCCCTTCGTCATTTTGGTGAACTACTGGAAGACGGCATCTTTAAGAATAATCATGATGGGCTCGGCGCCTATAGCTCAACCGGCTAAGGCGCCAGCCACGTACACCTAAGGTGGCGGGTTTGAATCCCCAGCCTGGACCCGCCAAACAACAATGACGGCTGCATCC